CAAATATTAAAGCAAAACAAAATGTTTGCAAACAAGCAACACAGTGTTAATCAAAACAAACATCTATAAACAATCTGAACAATTTAGAAATACATCTTAGATAATTTACACAATTCATTTTGAATAAATTAGTCTGTTGAAAAAACAATAAGTTCTCCAGTCTACAGCCATCATGATGTCACAAACTCTTTAAGCAAAACAGTTTCTGTTAAATGTTTAGTTCAGTTTTTTTTTTAATGTTTTTTAAAACTAGACTTCTGATTATTTGGCTAAGAGGAGTCCAAGCTGGTTTCATAAAGAATAGGTTTGACATCAGCAAGTTTAAAACCAAAGAGACAGGTTTATAGTGTCCTCTACACAGGGAACATCAAGGTCAAAACATCTCAGGAACAAAAAGATTGGAAAATATCAACTGGGCCTGAAGAGGGTTTTGTGATATTTTTTTTTCTTTAGAAAAAATAAATTATGACAAAGAAAATCACATGTGAAGCTTGAAAATAAGACATGACTGAAATTCCTGACTACATTCTCTCCCCTTTGTTCCAACATCAAACTAATTAAATTTTTGGTGTTATTGGGGTTTGGGATATTCAGAGGAGTTTTATGTCTTGTCTGTACAAAACTCTCTACACAAAAATTCAGTGCAACCTTGCAGGCACAATATTTTGATTCAGCTGTTTTTCAAGGTTCAAACATCAATCTTCATCTTTAAACTCCAGACCAATAGGTGGCAATAATGCACATTTTCCTACTACTTATCAGAACATACATTTTAATAACAAATTCCTCCTAATCTGTATGTTCATGTATGTGGCTGATGAATTGCATTAGTTTTAATCATATTTTGTCAGTTTAGGTGAGTAAAAGTGTAACAAAGTGTGCATATCTTACATCTGTGACCTACCCTCCTGGAGTACCAATTAGCAGGGTGCTGTTTATACACTCACAATAAAAGTAGAACATGTTTTTGTCACAATTAGAAACAAATCAAACACTGAAAAACAAAGGAATGTATGAAAATAATTGGAGCCCAAGGGGTAAAATTTGTTCTCTTGAAATAATTACTCTTATTGTGTGCCAATATTGAGGCACTGGGAGAGAGAGCAACAAACCTTTTTCCAGTTATCAAATGCATGGGGTCTGTGGAAGAAAGTGTATTCAATGCATGTCGACACTCTCACTGCTTGCATAATAAGTATCTCAATTTTCATCCTGGTAAAATATTTCTGCCAGAGTTCTCCACTTACTCACCTAGTGGGCTGAAGATGGATAGTGTTAGCAGGGTGAGTCATTATTTTGTGGTCCTCTCCCAGCTGTTTGCTGTGGTCATTTTTGTCTTTCACTATCTGTATAGGAGAGTTTCTCCAGAGTCTTACATTTATGGAAAGAAAGAATCACAAATATTGATAGATAACAGCCAAATTTCAGTTTCAGTTTTCAGTTATAGTTTTTCCGTTTTCAGATTATGGAGCTCGGCGGAGTAGAGTGACTAGCTGATATGTCTTCAGTACCAGTGATGCTTACATTCAGCTTGACGTTGTTCCAGGTGAGTTGTTAAGTGCAAAGCCACTTCTGTGTTGTTGAAAAACACTAAGAGAAAGTTCTGGTTCTGTCCACCTTTCTTGCTCCACTGAAGCTGCATGAAAAACAGCAGAGATCGATGATAGCAAAGAATCCTCTGTGCTTTATTCTGTTCTTTACAAAACAATCCCATGAAATTCACATGTAAAACGCATGTACCACATTACAACCAGACATGGTTCATACTAATGTTCACATGTGAATGACATGTGAAAGATGTGTGAATGTTGTGAGACACATGTAAAAGCACATGTATACATCTGATTCTGGAACACTTCATGGTAAAAAAACCATGTTTTCACATGTGTATCCCATGTGTGACACATATAAAATATGTGATATACATGTGATGCACATGTGAATCAAATGTTATTACATGTGTATCATATAAAACATGTGTATGACATGGTGTATATGTGATATACATATAAAACACATAAATGGTCTGAACTTATAAGCGCTTTTCCAATCATTTTGACCACTCAAAGTGCTTAAGAGTGTCATTCACCCATTCACACTCAGAAATACACATTTATACACTGATATGTAGATCAGTAGGGAATTTGAACTTAAGTGCCTTGTCCAGGGGCACATTCACATGTGGGAGGAGGAAGATGGAATCAAACAGTTAAGACAGTAAAATATGATGCACATGATATATAAAATATGTGAAATCCATGTGTATCACATGTAATACACATGGGTGATACACATGTGATACACATGTGAATTCGATGTGTAAACATGGGTTTTTACCATGAAGCATTCCAAAATCACACAATACATGTGCTTTTACATGTGTCTCACATCATTCACATCTGAGAATTTGTATGAACCACATGTATATTTTTTATGTGGTACATCATTTTTAGATGTGATTTTTGTATGTAAAAAAATATATATATATATATATATTTTTTTTTTTTTTTACATATTCAGTACAATCACCAGATCTTTGCATTGAAAAAATCTGATCATGTGTGGTGCACATGTGAGAAACATGTGATGAATGATCATATGTTGAATAAACCATGGATCATTTGAACAAAATACTTTATCATATGTGGCACATGGGAACCACATGTGAAATTCATGGGATGTTTTTGTAAGGGTGGTGTCACTTTGTAAAGTTACACTGCAGAATGTTGCATTAAGTACTAAATTCAGCACAGGAACATTCTGCATTTGTTCAAGCATAACAATGATGCATTTGTTTGGTAGTATGAGTGTACTGAAACAACACGGCTGTACCAGATGTTTTCAGTACAAATACATGTATTGATACATCGGATGGTGATGGGTTCTCTGACCTCTAACCCGGGTTAAATTATGAGAGAGTGGTGGTGGTGGCTTTGGAAGGGTCAGTGGGTTATGATCAGAGTTATGGAGGGTTTGATGCGAAGGTAGAGAGTGGAAATAGTTTATAAACGTAACATTACTGTCTTCCAGAAGGTTTTCATCCTTAGAACTGCAGCTAGACTGGAGATGGGTGGAACTAATGAGGACTAACTTCAGTAGTTCGCAGTACCACTCTGCCCAACCCGGCCTTTGTTCTGTTCAGATGTGTCATTTCCATCAGAGGCCGACAATGAAAGATATGATTGTCAAAAAGTGTTCTCCCCTGACGAATATTATCATGTCAGTCCAATATGGAAAGTACTAACTTTTCCTTTGGTCTCTCTCTCTTTCTTTTTCTCTCTCTCCATCATTGCCACTCATTCCCTCTGTTTCTGTCCCAGTGGAGAGAGAAGACAAAGAGAGAAAGAAGGTAAAGAAAAGTGAGTGAGTTCTGTTTGAGTGAGTGTAGCTTGTTGCCAAGTCTGGCTACACTACAAAGGTTAGCACATCTGACTGTCAATAGTATCTTGTGGGTGGGAGGGAAGGAAGGAGGAGACATGGAGGTGAAATGGTGGAGGGAGGGAGCGGTCGCTTTGAGAGAAAGAGATACTTTGATATTTCGGAATGTTAGAAGGGTGAATGTGGAGAACAGGAGGTTGGGGATCTAATTACCGGGCCATAATTGGGGGCTGGGGAATAGGTTGCCGTCCTCTCAACTCACTGCAGATCAATTATGTTAAGAGAACATCTGTAAGTAGTGCTTAATGAGGTCCATTAGAGCAACATGCGCTGCCTTCCCTAACGGTGCTTGTCAGCTTCTTGGATGAGCTGGAGTGTGCTGCCGACTGGGGACCTGGTAGAGGGGCTTAAATAGAAGGGGAGGCTCAACATTGTACCGCTTTTCCTGTCAGAAAACCAAAGAGACACAGAGATACAGGGCAGGGAGAAGGAGAGAAGGCAGCAAAGGGGGAATGGAACGACTGTGAGCAAAATCCAGGATCTGCACTGTTTGATAGGGTGCTTTCAAGTCTGCTTGGCTGATTTTCAAACCATCTTCTAAGTTTGGTTGCTAAGTTTTCTCTAGAAGATCAGGAATTCACTCAATTTGAGAAAGTTGCCTCGTGGACAGTTTGTCTCCAAGTTAGGAACATCCGCAGCAGCATCCCTAGGCTCCCCTGGCTGCATCCCATTTCAAGGTAGGAGTCTCTGCCCTTTTCTCAGTGCAAGGACACAGACAGGACACCACTACTCCTCCGTATTAACCTAAAATTACACCTGGCCTGACCAGGAACTGTCTTCATCATCCGTTTCCCCAGAACGAATGTAAGGTTTGGTGACCTATTAGGACACAGAGAAGAGCTGGGGTCATAAACATTTTTAGCCTACAAAACATACCTCTCTCTCTGAGTGGCTGGCAGGATGCTGGTGTTTCCAATTGATGTCGCCTTCTGTCTCCGTCTTCCATTCACAAAGACGATGACTTGGCTAATTGAGGGTGGAAGGGAAACGGGAGAGGTGTGGGAGCCCACTCTCCCACGCACACACACACCTCAGCAAATTGCATGATTACTGAGATAGGCAGTCTTAAAATAATTCAATCCATGACAAAACCTAATTACTGGCAGGTAATACCCTGTCAGCTTTAATGCATGTCATCACTCATCACAGCACGCAGAGAGCATTTTATGACCCATCTTATTACCGCTGCAGTTTAGGCTCAAGCCGCATGCCAACTATTGACTTGTGTCTCCTCCTACTGCCGTCTCCTCCTCCTTCTCTGTGCTGGAGCGTTAAGAGAACAACCAGCATTTATCAGGGCATTAGAACACCATGGGTGTGCAAAAGGAAGCTAGGAGGCTACTGAGGTGGGTGAGTGCCTCAGCACGAGCTTTATAGTCAAAACTGGGCCACTAATGGGTGAGGAATAGCAGATTTAAAAAAAAGCAAAGAACTATTCAATTCTCTATCTCCATGAATGAAGAATGATGATCTCAGAAAGAAGAGACATTGATAAGTATCACTTCTTGGAATGGAATGGATAAGTTTAACATTATTTTCTCATCAGTTGTTTTTGTGGAAAAACAACTGGGATTATTTTATTAGACTGGAACTAACATTTTCTGAGAAGCCATTTACAAAGGACAGCAATGCGTTCCTTTGAATGGAAACAGAAGACAGGCTACACAGTGTGCAGCAGTAGTATGACCTGCTTATCATGACCAGCCTAAACAGAAAAGACTTTGGTTCCAACACTTTTAGGTTCATTGTTGGTCTTTGCATGATCCTGGAAATGTTCAGGTAATTATTTCAGGAGCTTGAAGATTTGCTGGAGGCAATGTAGTCTTCATTGTTTCAGAACGAGTCCTCAATACTTCGTCACCCGTCCTGTTCATGTTCAGTTGATGGTGACTGAAAATAAAAAGTTGCTTTAAATTAAAATACCCGGCTTCATAATTTATTTGGCAAGGCACGAAGTGTAGCATGTATGCAAATGAGAACAAAGTAAAGGCAGAGCGTGTTAAATGATGAGGATTGGGTTGGGGAGATCCAGCCTGCCTTGTGGCGCGTTGAAAGCGCCGATTGGCGAAGCGGCGTGCAGCAGGAGCCGCTGTGATTAGGCTGGCTGCCGGATCAGATGGTCTCTGCATCGCAGGGGGTGGGGGAAAGCATCTCTTTGTCATCCTGTCATTTGTGGCCAGCTCTTCTCTGCGCACAGGCTGCATCTGCGATCAGTGATAAACGTGCTCTCACACGCCATGTGAGCGTAGAGCAGCGGCAGCCTCGCCTCCAGCTCCTCCGCCTGCTGTTCCGTCGGCCGCTGCTTGCCTCTATTCGCCTCTCCTCCTCTCTCCGCCGCCGTGCTGGATTGTTCTGTGTCTAACAAAGCCCGGTCTCAGGCTGCTCGCAGACAGCTGCTCTCGGAACTCGGTGGCTTCGGGTTGCATGGTGGTGCTCCAGTGGCTCAGCAAATGCAGAAAAGGGAGCAAAGTTTCGGTAAGACGCTTTCTTTGGCTTTTCCTTGAACGGGCGCCGGCGCAGGTTGCGCTTCGCTTGTTTCGGTGTTTTTCTGGGAGGAATTCCCAACGTGTCTCTGGAAGGTGACGTGACCTGCCTCTGCTGCTGCTCCAACCTTCCGCCTCACATCCACCGGCAGCCCTCCATGTATACAACATCACACACACGAGATGTTGGTGTTCTGATGCCTGTGATGAGGGGTTCGCTATGTTTGATTGGAACACAAATTGGGTCTGATTACAATCGACATGATATTGGGCTTAATTTACTGGGGGCTACCATAGCAACAGTAATTAAAGTGGATGGTATGTCGGCGTCTTGCCACCGATCGGCCGGCAGCTGGATGGCTGTCTTGGAGCAGACGTGTCGGGGAGAACCCGGAGCCAGCAGCACCACAGCCCGGTACCGCCGGACTCCGGCTGCTCTGTCTCACTTTATTACAAACTTCCCCTTCCTATCATAAAAGCCAAGTGAACAAAACCAGCCCATGGCTCTCTCACTCTCTCCTGATCGCAAAGCAAAGAGGAGGGCGCAGACTCCTTCTCCCTTTGCGTTGGTAATGAGCAGCAGGACTTTGTAGTGCTAACGAGGGCGGACGGATCAGCGGTGCTTAGTGGACAGCAGCCGAGGCGCATTGCTGTCTAAATCCAGCCAATTAACAAATCAGGAGCCAGCACCGGAACAAATTAGCTGAAAATCCTGTTGCACACTTCTTTGATCTTGTGCACATTTGTTTTATTCAGATCTGCACCCTGCAGTGGACTTTTTTTTAGGCGGTAGAGAACAACTTTGAACAGCCTGGAGCAGAAGCATGCCCTGCACCTTTTAAGGACATTTCCAGTTAGTTACAACAGAGAAGCAGCCCGATCCTGTTTGCGTGATTTTCAGATTAAAGTTGCTTCACACACATCATCAACCAGATGCCACATGAGCAACTTGTCTCCTGCTGGGAAATTAGCGTCAGTCACTTGCTCCAAGAAATCCCCAAAATTGAGGTGAAATTTTGGCTAACACTTCCTTAGGCTGGCATATGTGTAATTAAAAGTGACCCAAACTACCCTACTTCATTTTAAAGAAGAAACAAGTTGTGTGTGTGTGTGTGTGTGTGTGTGTGTGTGTGTGTGATGGGGGACAAAGAGGAGTGAGGCTGTGGTGCTCCTCAGGGAATGGAAGGAGAATACTAATTTAAAGCCTCATTGTGAGGCGGCTCCTAGCACCCACAGGGCCAACAAAGGCTCTCCACAGTGAGCTGAGGCCAAACAATACACAGCACTGCCTGGAACCACGCCTCTTTACACTTACACACATGCACACACATCAGGTCAAGTTAAAATGGGCCAAATTGGAGGTGGTGGCTTTGTGTGTGTGCCTATTGGTCTCAAAGGCAGTTTAAACAGAGCTGTGAGTTTGTTTGTAATGATCTTATGTTTCAGTGTTCAGCACACTCAGTTTACTCACGCTGCAACAGTTTGTGTGTGTTTTAGATTTTCTAATTCAGTCTTTATGCACTAAGATCAATAGTTCCTCTCACACAACAATCTTTCACCTTGGAGTAAAGCTGCAGCCGTGCAGTCGGCAAAAAACAAAAACAAAAAAACTGCTGTATGGAGGAAAAGCAGAGAATCACAGGATGAGTTAAGTGACCCAAAGAAATCAGTCAGAATGCAGACAATAAGGCTGTATTAATGTAAACCATGCAGGATGAGTTTGGATTGATTTAAACAGATCAGTTCCTCCAGCAGGAACACATTTAGTCTGTTACTCCACTCAGAGAGAACGGAATGATTTTACAGGAGATAAATGAATTAAATCACTTTTTGGTGCTAAATGAACTAGTCATTAAATACATTTTTATTTTTGCCATTTGATCAGCTTTATCTGAAAACATCCAAGTGAAAATAAAGTCAAAATCTGTTTTACAGTTTTCAGTTTAGTCTTACAAAATCAACTGTAACTGAACTTATGTTAGCCCAGCAGATGATTTATTATGGATTATATTGTATTTCACTATACTTAAGTATGACAAGTTATTGTATTTATTTATTTTTTTTTTGTTAAAAGAAACATTCTATTAATATGCTGCTTTTTAATATTGTATTAAAACTGAATGTTGATTGTATATTCATGTGTGCATCACGACAGCACCCCGCATGTCACAATGTCTGAAGACAGCGGCTGTATTTTAGCTGTAACGTCAGTAGAATTTCATAAACTTATTTTTTGTTAAACAATTTGTTAAATTTAAACAATATTTTACACTCCGGCCACTTCTTGACTTTAATTCTGCTCAGTGTTTTGCTGTGTGTTTTAAGAAATGGATCAAAACAACAGAACTAATGAACAAACTGAAATAAAATAAAAATAAATGGTGAAGTGGTGTTCTAGAGCGTACCATTGTTTCAGTGTTTAATGACTGTTTCTGTGCTTCCAGGTATACAAATGCTCACTGTCCAGCCGGACGCAAAGCCAAAAGGCTGTGCCGGCTGCAACCGGAAGATCAAGGACCGCTACCTGCTGAAGGCGCTTGATAAATATTGGCATGAGGATTGCCTGAAGTGTGCCTGCTGTGACTGCAGGCTGGGTGAGGTGGGCTCCACGCTCTACACCAAAGCCAACCTCATCCTGTGCCGGAGAGACTACCTCCGGTAAGAAACGCCGATGTCTTCTGACCGCTCCGCTCTACACCTTACGGTTCGAAACAGCACAAAAGCACAAATTCACTGAAATTATTTTCCACTTATTTAGAATTTGGGTTTTTAAATGTGCACATTGAAGACATGAAGATGCTTCTTCTTACAAAACACCTTTAAATTTTCTGCCGTGTTACTGCAGTGGCATGCTTTTGGTTGCTCTTTTCAGATATTTGATCAGTGAAACTAATTTGTGTTTAGTTGCTTTGGAAAAAAATCTGATGTTGCTTTGTATATTTATTTATGTGTCTGTGTTTGTTATTTTTGTAGGAATCATTTTTCTTTTGGTCTAAGTATTTCTTTGTAGTTTTGTGATAGGAGTATAATTATTTAAATCTGGAAATTAGGTCAAACTGACAAAATTCACTACAAGAAGCTCCAAATACCACCAAAATGGCAAAAATATGTCACGTTCAACAATAAGTCTGAACCAAAATAATGCTTTATTATTATTCAAAACATAAGCATTGTAAGCATTGTTATCCATCTTAATTTGGAGTGCTTATTAACACAGCCTGCACTCCTCTTCCCTGCAACAAAACAGGATATCGTAACTATGTCTGTGATGGCAAAACTAGCAACTAGAATTAAAAAATGTAGATTTTTATTAATGTGTGATGAAGTAACAGTTAAAGCAGCAGCCCCAGAAGGAGACAGGATCTCCCTGAAACAGCAACATAAATACATTGTTAATGCATTTGAGGGAAATGCTGTGTGATTTAGTCTTTGGAGTATGTTTTTTTTTCTTTAATACATTTTTTGTTGCAGTAAATCAAACCTTGTTTTTATCACTTTTATCAATAAACTATCCATAAATTATAAACAGCATAAAGGATAGAAATTCACTCTTAAATACTGCTTTTTAAATTTTGGCAGTGAGTTATATGAGCATTCATATTGTCTTGTCTTAAGTAATATTGTTATCTTCATAATTTGAACTCTTCTGCCCGCTCACACATTGTGCTGAATGCTTTCCATCTGAAACGTCTCATTTTAATAAGACGTTGTGTCCAGGGGATTAAAGAAAAACAGTGAGAAATGAAGAAAACCAAGATGAATCCAAAGAGTGATAAACTATGGAGTGATTTCTGCAGGCATTTAAAGCTAACCGCGTTGAAAGTCTGATTAATGAACAGATGGTGGGGAATCGATTCATTTGGAAACGTAACTTATTTGCGGTGGATGTAAAAAACGTTAAAAGTGAAATTATAAGTGACACAAACTGGGGCTGCAAAGTTCTCAAGATAATTTTCTGATGTTTTTCTGGTAGAGAAAAACTACTACGTAAAATGAAATTATGTCATGAGTTTACTTATTTTTTGGATTTAACAGGTTGAACTGAATGAGATGAGACAAGATTGCTGTGTTATAACATTTAAATCTGTGCCTTTATGAATATTAACTTTGCCCAAGAACTTGAACCTAACAGGGCTGCTTTACATCAAGAGCTTGAACTGAGTGATTCATTGTAATTGAACATTTATCCTATTGTTGAAGAAGATTTTAGGTTATAATATTTCTTAAGAAAGAAACTCTTTGGCTCGATCTTCTTCGATCCCAGGTCCTCCCGGCAGACTGCGTGTAGCCACACAGAAAACAACAATGAGTCACAGAATTACAGAGTTTAATCCAATAGGAAACAACGCATAAAATTACAGCAGAAACTGCGGAACAACAGAGACATATATTCATTTACCTGAGACAAATGGAAAGAAAGAAAGAAAAGCAAAGACGTCTTTGGAGAATTGCAAGAGCAAATCTGATTTGTTACTCCTGTGTAGAAAGTTTCACAGTAAAGGCGTATTCTTGTCTTTTAATTTATTCAAATAAGGCGTACCTTTGCTCATCCAACCAGAAGCTATCTCTGGCCCTTCTTAAGCTTCCTGCAAGTCACGGTCTAAGGTTATTTGTCTCCATTGTTCAAACAAAATGAGAGCAGAGACTCTCCTGAACTCCTGCTGTTTTATGGCTTTTCACAAATGAGTGTGAAAAGCTGGAACTTCTCCTGATTGTTTCCCACACAGATAAAGGACAGTTCAAAAGATCCTAGCAAACCATCTGCTGTAACTACAGGTAAAATAAAGGTCAATAGGCCAGAATAAGTTACTAATTTTAAAACTATAATTAGGCTATTTTCATCAAGACATGTTAAGTTTTAAAACTAGCATATTTAAATTTATTTTCTTAACACTATTCTGGACTTTTTTTTTATTCAGAAAAACGTCACCAGTGTTTGTTTTTTTTTTTTATCCCACCTGGGATCTGAATTTTCTGTCCATCATACATGTTATTCTAAAGGCATAGATCGCTCATTAATATTCATAAGTGCGCTTGTTGCCCAGATGTTTGGACAGAGTACAGACAGAATGACAACATCTGGAATGCCTATAACCCTGAAAGATGATGACGTCTGAAGAGTTCCATTTCAACATGCTTCAATGCAGAAACATGGTGTAAATCAACTTAGTGAAACTCAACCCTAAAACAACTTTTTGTTTTGCTGATAAACTGTCTAAACAGGTTGTTTAGGGTTCTATCTTTATATTTCTGTGCAAAGTTTGATATTTTTGTGCAGTTTGCTTAGTTTGCCTAAAACCGTCTCACTTCTGGAGTTGGAGTACCTAGCGTTGTCATGGCATCTGTTGAGCATTGATTGAAAGCTTTCCTCAGCTTTACAAGTGTGTGATTTATTTGCAATGTGGACACAGAGTGGAATGGGTCTGCTCTGTTCTGACTGTTGGTGAAGGTTTGGTGTTGAAGTGATGACTGTCAGACTGAGGAAGGAGGAGAAGCTAATGGAGGCTAATGGCCGCTCTCGCTGCTAGTTCAGGACAGTCAGCTGCAGAGCTTTGTCACCAACAACACAGAGTTTCTAGATTTATCACTAGCTGTAGTTTTAAAAATGTCACTTGGAGTCTGAAAAATTGACAGTTAGAAAGTGGACAAGTTTATAGTTGTTATGGCAACAGATCCAATATCTGCGTCATTCCTTAGACACTGGAAGTAAAGGACGCGTGCGAACCGTGAATTTAACAAAAAACTCTTTATCTGTAAAAAATACAAATACAAAAATGACGATAAATCAGTCCCTTTTCTTTCTTTCCAAAAATACACAGTCTACACGGTCAAAAACTGTTTTTGCTCCGTGTCTAAGTAATCCAACCGTGTCTAAGCAATCCGGACAATGGTTTCTTTTTTCTTAAGGCAATATACAACCCGACAGGAACTAAGCCTTTCAAAATAAAACTAAATTGCACAATAAAAATGCCTAAACCAAATATCAATTGTCCTAACTAAATTTTATAAAATACAAACAGACCATCCAATAACTTAAATATTTCCTATTTATGGCTCTAACAATAGTGTTTCTTTCATCCTGATCATAGCTCCATTAATCTCCTCTTTCAAATAACAGAACATCATAAATAAAAAAACACTTTGATGTGAAAAGTCTTCTTCGTATTGGTCAGTTGGCAAGCACTTATTTGTGGGCATTACAGTGTACATATTACATATCAATAACCTGAATCAGCTGATCACAAACAAAATCAGCAGTTCAGAGATGTTTCCCCCAAAACACACTAAACAGTAACACCATGAAGCGGCTCATGCAGTAGTCCACACAGCAACAGAACACAAAAGTGTCTCAGACATAAAACTCTCAGTGATCTGAATGTGACGGATCACTGCAAAGCTCCTCCGGTTTGTCCAGCTGGAGCCTGTCATCGCCTTTCACACCGCCATCAAACATGAGCTGAATCCACATACAATTACAGGAAATACATAAAGATAATATTTGATATAACATATAGGTGTTACTATCCTTCAAATTAGAATATGGCTTATTTAAACACCATATAAATATGCTGATCAACCCATTGTGTTTTTATAGATGCAGTTACTCTACTTCTGTCTTGGTGTGGTTTTTAAATGGTAAAAATAACAGTAATGATAGTAAAATAAGGGCATACAGTGGCTTCGATACTCTTATTGAGAAAGTGCCACTGGCTGCTGAGGTAAACTTGTGACTGAATGTTCTGTGTTGTGGTGTGTTTACATTTTAAAGATAAGGGATCATGTCATGGGCTGCACAGTGGCGTAGTTGGTAGAGCAAGAAGGCTCTGGGTTCAATTCCCGGCCCGGGGTCTTTCTACATGGAGTTTGCATGTTCTCCCTGTGCATGGTGGGTTCTCTCCGGGTACTCCAGCTTCCTCCCACAGTCCAAAAACATGACTGTTAGGTTAATTGTTCTGTCTAAATTCTCCCTAGGTATCAGTGTGTGTGTGTATGGTTAATTGTCCTGTCTATCTGTTGTCCTGCAACAGACTGGCACCAGCAACCCTCCCGACCCCAATAAGGGACAACGGTGTATGGAAAATTGATGGATGGATGGGGTCATGTATTGTACATTGATATTTTCATCCTGCTGAGAAAAGTTATGTACCTGCAAAGATGTTGCAGTCGCTGGTGTCGAGTCTGGCTCCTTTACACTGATGAAATGTAGAGTATATAGTGGTGAGTTTGGCTGCATTTCTACAGTAAACTCCTAACTTACAAGCTCATATCCAGCACTGATGTTCCTCCATGTTCCTTTTGGGTTTTAAAAATGGAATAAAAAACCCCATCTCCGTTCATATTCTCCCAATCACCATATCGTGAATCCCTCAGGCTTAAACAACAATGTTTTGTTGCTACCACAATTCTGTTGAGAATTGGATTCATCTTGTTCTCCACACAGACTTTACCGCTGCCATTGTCCTGAATGAATATGGCTGCTGTAGCATTTTGATGTCATTAGTGATGAGAGCCATTACAGTTACAGTGCAGACGTCTTATAAAAATGAAGCACTGACCAACACATTCAATGTCTGTTGATGATTATGATGATGGCAGTCATCAAAATGTAATGTTTGTTTCTGGTTTTCTCAATTTTTGACTGATTGGTGTTTTTAATG